CAACATTTTCTTAGACTGGCGCCATGTTTGCTTTGACCTGTGGCGTGGCGTTCAGCGGCTTTGCCATCTCCGGCTATAATGTGAATCACTTGGACATAGCGCCTCGGTATGCGAGCATATTGATGGGCTTGTCGAACGGCATTGGCACCTTGGCTGGCATAATCGTGCCCTATGCGCTGGATGGCCTCATTCAGAGGAATGTGAGTGAGATTGAGTGGATTGATGGAGCTGTACGATTTGAACTCTATTTTCTATTTGAACTCTAGCCGACTGGCTGCTGGACCACTGTGTTCACCCTGGCCGCATGTGTTCACTTGATTGGTTGCACTTTCTATGGCATTTTCGCCTCCGGCGAGCTGCAGCCCTGGGCCGAGCCGCCGCCTGAGGAGCAGCAGGTGTGGGCACCGCCGGCGGGCGCCATTACCCACGGCGACGATCCCAGCCAGGCGGGTATGATGGGCAACTACATGAAGGAAACGTCATTTGTAAGCCAAGCACGCTATGCATTAGGCAAACTTAATATCCTCCCCCCTCTCTCTCTCTCTCTCCCTCTCTCCCCACTCTGCAGGGCGCACCGGAGTACACGGAGCAGAGCCAAATGCAGCAACCGAATGCCATTAGCTATGGCGCCACCGGGCACGTGGCCAACAATCCGTTTGCCTTGGCAGCGGGCGCGCCCATTGCCGAGGAGCCCGCCCAGCCGAGCGAGGGATACGGCTACACGGACTACACGCAAGCACAGGCGATGCCCTCGACGAATCCGTACGAGCAACAGGCCTATCAACAGCAGCAGTAAACGACAACAAATGGCAGATCGATCAACTGATATACAATTAGCTTTTAGTTATAGTCCGTTTATTGTTTGTTCCTGATGGGGTTGATTTGTATATAAGATATAACACACACGCATATAGATATACCTAAACAAATATATCTGAAACTGAAAACGAAAATGAACTTCAGGCCGAGTCTAACGAATTTCGATATAGAGCAGGATTCACACACAAACACACACACACTCACACACGTCACACCAACACAATGAAACTATGTACCTAACAGAGCAACTACATATTGTACGCGTATACAGGACACAAAGGATTACGTTAAACTTGGCCCCAAAGAGCAAAGCACAAATTCTATAGCCTACTTTTAAGCGTCGCTTGCGCAGAACTCTATTTACAAGCTACAGCAACAAATATACAGAAACAAATATACATACAAGACAGTATATATACGAGGACAATTAGAAACTCTTACGATAATCGACATTTGTGTATATCATTAAAACAAACATAATCCAGGCACACGCAGCACGTCTCAAATCGTTACGAAATATTATTATAAATAATTTCAAACCAACTATATAGACACTATATATAAATATATATTATATGATAATAGCAAATTAATTGTTGTTAGCAGTTAATCAATTATAAATAAAAGAAACTGCAAGTTTTATTACCGTTAATGATATTCAATGTATATGGATAAAGGCGCGACTCTGAAGGTCGTTAAGGTCTAAGCATTAGTAAATTTTAATCACAAACTTATCTAACTAAAAACTAAGCAATTGTTGATGTTCGGCACGAATGATAAACACAAAAAGGACAGTATACTTCTACATACTAAATTTAAATCATAATTATTAATTATATAACATTTTACATGCACATATACATATGCTTTTGGTTTATGGCACGAATCGAGCAATGGCATGATATAGGTACTAAACACATTTAAAGTAGCATAGGCCCATAAGCATTAGCTATCAGTAGGCGCCAATAACCTCAGAATTGGTCTTCATACAATGCTTCTCAATCTTCAATCTTCAATTTTCATCCAACGATTTTTTACATATATACATATATAAAAGATATACATATATGCATAAGTAAAAACTGCTGCTGGCCTTAAAGCTTTAATTCTATTTTGTATTCTTCAATATTTTTACAGAAAATATTAAAAACAATTTCTTTTTACAATCATTTATTTATATACTACAAATATATTTTTTAGATATGTTGAAGTTTGAATTTAAAAAAAGATTTTTTAATGTTATAAAATTTATAAATTTGATTTGGCAAATAATTAAATAAAATATATAAATATATATAGATTTTTTTTAAATATTTTATTATTATTATTTTTATATATATTTTCATAAATATTTTTTTGGCTCAGCAGTCGTTTTTGCTTATACCATAAACATCTAACGTAAATCATTAAAAATGTTTTAAATCATTTATAATAATATTTATGCATGTTTAATAAAAAGAAAAAACAGGCGGATTCTTGATGTATATATTACTTAATTAAGCAAAAAAAAATTGATTAATATATATTATTAAAGTAAATATACACAAATTTTTGATTTGCAATATTTATTTATTTTATTTTTATTTTTTTTAAGAGCACTTTAAAAACATGTTAATGCACCGAATAAGTTTGTCCTTTAAATTTATTATTTAGCGCACAACAAAAATTGTCATAATTTTTAATAAATACTTATTTTTACTGTTAGTTTTTATGCACTCAATTACGCACTGTTTTATATTTAGTTAATTATTTTATATGATATAAATGCATAAAAATTATTAAAATATTTTTGAGCACTTTGGAAATTTATGCACCAATATTGTAATCTTTTATTTATATTTTTGGTTTGTTCATAATTTTACTATAGATTTAATTATTTTTATTTTACTATTTAATTTTTATTCTGCATAGACGCACTTACTTTCTTCAGCAACTGTAGAACTATACATACAACGCATAAATCAACTGTATTATATTATTATTGTTAAATAAATAAACATATACCTATTAGCAAGTATTATATATATTTACGAATCGTAATATTAAACAAATTATTCACAATTAAACCACTATGTATTAATAAAATGTGAAAATTTTCTAACTAAAGAGTCAATTCTTATACCGTAATTTGTACAGAGCAGCGAATATTATATAAATATATATATATATATGCCAATATCTATACATTAATATTATTTAGAGCATAATTGAGATCGGATGAATTTTAATTGTTATGTGTGTTGTTGGACAATGACTATAAACCAAAGAAAACAACAACAAATAACAACAAACTGCTTGTGAAAGCGACAATAAATAGCTAAATAAGCTTTGTTAATATACAGATATATAAATATAAATATATATGATTATCTATGAATTATGATTTAAATGTTCATTTAATTTAAATGTAGCTACAAATTTGGATGCTTTTACTCAAAAATTGGCAGCAAAGGCAAAAGCAAAATAAACTTTCGGCCATTGGGGCGTATGTGTAATATTAGCATTAATCGAAATCAAAATCAAATCTGTATATATAGATGCTCAAAACTATTGTAGTTATTATCAAATGCATGTTCATGCACATGAATATATAAAACTCTGTATGTATATGTGTGTCTCTAAGAGTTAAAACAGCTCTTGACAGGAGAGATGAATATAAACGAGGCTCTCGATTGTCATTAGCTCACTTAACTAAACATATGTAAACTGGAATGTTGTTAATTCCAAGTCTATAGTTTGATTTCCATTTATGTTGAGAGACAAGAAAAGCTCTCAAGGCTGTGTGGACAATAATAACAAATATGTTAACCAAAACGCCACAGTGTTTATTGTTTTACCAAAAACATTTCTATAGATATACGAAGCTCTAGCTGAAAATCTCTTACGAAATACTTGTTGAACCCTTGACCCAACTGTCTGAATGCATATATCTATATATATATACATTTATGTGTGCAATATAACTAGCTAAATGCCATCATTAAATGCTTTTGTGAGTAATTTAAGTGTACATAAAAAATAAAATTCATATATTAATAGTAACAAAATATAATAATAATCATAAAAAAAGAAATCGGAGCACAAACTGCAATGAATATCATTTGAAGCCCATTAACCGGTTATAACTAGGGTACTACGACTATGACTAAATACAAATATATTATAATAAACTCATCTATTGCATATAGACGCACAATTGACTCAAATTCAACTTACCCAAGAAAGCTGCGGCAAGTCGTGCTTCAAATATTCTTTTCAGAGAATCAAATATACTTGAAAAGTCTATTTCGATGTTCGATATATTCGTGCTATGTATATATATTTTAAATTAAATTTAAAAAATATACCTTATAATTAAATGTATTATTTATGTGTTTTGTTCAACAACTAGTGAATGTATAAAATATATATATAAAGATATAAGTAAATCAAGATCCCTTTTCTGGCAACACCCGCCCAATGTTGTATAATTTTATGAACTAGTCTAAAAATCGTACTCAAATCGTACATATTTCATAATATATATGCCGATATCATTCAAACTACTTACAAGTAATATTTAAATAAATAAAAATTATATTTGATTTCAAGCCACAAGATTATTTCATAGGCCCCATCAAGCAACCCGACTATACGAACCACATATAAAGGCTTAACAAATTATACCTAAACGAAAAATTGTATTTGGAATTCAATAAACGAAACATGTTAACAAATTATGCCAAAAAAAAAAACAACAACAACAGAGATTATTTTGAGTATTTCTCTTTTTTTTTTATTCATTTTTAGCTAAGTTTAATGATTAGATTTCGATTTGTACGAGGCGCGGACAACGACGATGGCGGCAATTGGTAAAAACTAAGATGAAACGAGTGGAAAATAAATACAAGTAAGTACACGTAATTAGGAGACAACGAACTAAAATCACATGAGTGCTACATCGAACATACTATATGTCTATGTATATAGAGTAAACTCGATTCGAACCAGCCGATCAGCGCCTTACGCCCTGGTACTCCCCGTTGGCCCGCCCCTTGCCCGGAAAGCCGCGTGCAAAGGGCGCCTTCGCATTCGTCGTCACATAGTAGTTGCCGCGTGCTCTGTTTGTAAAATACGAATCATGAAATACATATAGAATATGATAATTGAATGTCTATCAGGTCGACTTACTTGTGCGAACAGTGCTCGCCCATGAGCACATACTCCGAGTCCTTGGGCTCGCACCAGCCTATCAGGTAGGTGAACAGATTCGGACAGGGCCCCGCATAGAAGCCGCGCTTCGTTGTTATCGACTCGATGAAGTACGGCGTGACCTTGGTGTGATCGCAGGCCAAGGTTTCTGAGGAGAGTTTTATATGAGTAAAGCCCCAATGATGAAACTTATATTATAAGTATTTATAATATCTCTATGTATAAAAGATCACAGTTAAACTGCTGTTTGCTATATATAATCATGAACTAAAATCTGTATAAATTTCTACTTGATTATATCGGTGATAACTATTGTAATGGTATATACAATTTATTATCGATTGATGTGTTTATCGGTTGATCCCAATATGTTTTAATATTCATTGCTGTACTGTTATAGAAAGCTCAGAGGAATATTTCCCCAATTTATAAATTGTTATACGTACTCTGACTTATACATATGTATGTACATATATGGATCGATATTTATCGATAATTAGGTATGTCCAGTTAGTCTCAGCTAAGATCTCTATGTCAAGATATTTCCTTACTAGATTGAAAAGCTTAAATATATATTTATCGATAGTCGATAAGCTGTTATCGATAGCAGCTATGATTTTAACAATATATTTGCTTCTACTTTTCCTGATATTAACTCTGTTTTAAGGCACTATTCAAAATTAATCGATACCCGATAACTATTCATCGATAATTAGTCCCCAGCTCAGTCATCCCACCCGAAACTTACGAAACAACGTGGCAGAGCCGACGCACGCCGGCTGCCTGGTGCCGCCATTGACATAGAAGTCGGCATGTCCACTCGAGTGCCACTGCCCCAGGATGCCGGCGCCCGTGTGCAAGACATCGACAAAGTGCGCATCACTCGTGTCCAGGTCGCGTGAGTTGTTCGCACCGGCATAGAAGAATATGGTGGGATCCAGAGCCGTGATGCGCCCGATCTTGCCCTCCTCGGGCTTCAAGTAGTTCGCAACGAGGCCCGCAATGTGGGCGCCCACGCTGTAGCCAATGAAGTGCAGGTCGTCCGGCTGGACGCCGCGCGGATGCCGCGCCAGGTACTTGACCAGCTGCGAGATGCAGAGGCTGCCGAAGCGCGGCGCCCACTCCATTTGGCTCAGGCAGGGCTCCTTCACCGCGTTGCTGTAGTCCACGATGATGATGTTGTACTCGCCGATGCTGAAGTACGCCTCCCGCAGGTCCGGGCTGGGGCTGAGCATGCGGCCGCCGCCAAAGCCGTGGATGATGATCTTGGTGGGGTGTCGCGGATTGAAGTGTGTGTAGTAGAGGGCATTCGGATCGAGCACGTCCAGATACTCGGGCTCCTCCTGGGTGCGCCGCGTGTACAGGTAGAACTGGATCTTCGGGTGCGGGCAGCGGTACGGCTTCTCGAGGCAAGAGTCTGTGACATAGACTTGGGATTGATTTTGGCCCGCAGCCACAGCGGCCGCAACAACTGCAGCGTTTTGACTAGCTAAGAGAGAGAGAAAAAGAGAGAGAGTGTGGGTGAGAATGGGAGAGAGAGAGAGACAGACTGAGTTGGTTGTCGGAACACCTTCACCTCCGGCTGTGGCTAAACGGGTTTTTCTCATTTCTTATTTTCTGCTTTTTCTTTCGTCCGGCCAAATTACATAAGAGACATTGAACGTTGGCGATTTGGTGGCAAATGCCGATGCGACTGCAATTGCCACATTTGCCAGCCGTTGCTGCCACATTTCTGCAATTGTGGCAAAAGTAAAAGTCAGCCGCAAGCGAGCGAACGGCAAAAAAACGGAAGTTTGCAACGAGCACTCGCATCTGCTATTATTTCCAGTTGTTATTGTTGTTGTCGGCTTGTTGTCAGTTGCTGCTATTTATAACACAAACACCGTGACGTGACATAACTGGATGCCGGCTATGCGCGTGTGTGTGTGTGTGTGAGTGTGACAGTGCGTGATTCATGGCTAGAGCCATAAGGAAAACCCATACTCAGTGAGCTCATCTGCACAGCTGCAACGCTCGTAGAGTCACACAAAGAACCAGTTCGTGATCGTTTGAATTTGGACGTATCAAATTGATATGCCAAATAATATTAATTTTTACTTTACAATTCGTGCAGTACTTGTTTTTATAGTTTGCGGAACTAGTTCATTGAATTGATCAATCATGAAATAATGATTATCATGAAATAATATTGATAATAATATTTACTTTCTAGTGCATCTTACCCCTAAAATATTTGGTTATTATTTTAGAATTTTGTCTTTAATTAATAGTTGAATATAGTTAGGAATTTATCAGTTATAGGAATGCAGTTCAAAATTTCGAAATATATAGTGTTGAAAGTAATAATAAATGAGTCCCGTATGAGGGTTATCTTATACCTAGACATATTTCAATTGAAGAACTATATAAATCCAGAAGTCGCTTTATACGGAACCACTTCAAGTCGAGTCACAGCCAGCACTAGCAGGCGAGCAACCAAAATGTGAGACTCGCGCGTACATAAATTTAGTTGCGCTTTGCATTTTGATGGGCTTATTAAAAATGAAAAGTAATATATGCATATGTCTCTCTATATTTAGATATATGTATGTATATACACAGGTAGAATCGGCCTTCAGCTAATCACAGTCGCTGGCCAATTGGCCCACTTTGCTATGCTAAACCAGCTGCTCGATGTCGTAATGCAACCGGTCTGCAGCTCCGCCGGTTGCAGTTGCAGTTGCAGTTGCAGTTCAGTTCACACTAATAAACAGTGGTTCATTTCGCTGGCCAAAGATCGGCGTGAGTAGGCTTTGCCTTCTAGGGCAGCCGGCATTCGATATCAGCTCACCTCATGGCATAGTAAGCGGGCGGCAGCCAGTTGAAAAAGTTCGTCCGTCTTTGGTGCTGGGTAACATCTTGTCATATGAAATGTTGTCATAATGTTTAGTCGAATACCCTGTATACAATGGCCAATCGCGATAGGGTGTATTGGCTATTCATCTATGATATTTCTGATACAAATCGTTTCTTTTCAATCGAATTTTACATTTTTAAACAACATCGATAAGTATCGATAACAGTCTACTAGTATATAAGATAATAGATATTGTTTTGAAAGACAGTTGTTCTGTAGGACTATAGAACAGTTAATATACATAACTGTGTATCGATAAATATCGTTATAGAGTCAATCATTTCGATACGTATCGGCCTCAGTGAACTAATTTGATTCTGGAATGATTATAAGTATGCACATATAAATTTCTTAGTTAATCAATAGCAGCACCTCTTCAAAATAGATATTCTCAGACATTCGTCTCCTCGTCTCCTGTCTCCTCTTTACTATTAAATAAAGAGATTGTGGGGGACAATTTGAATTGATTGGTGCATTGCCCAAATCAGAATGCTTCAATTGATAATCTCTTTACATACAACAACGTTAGCAATATCTACAAGGTATCTACTAGTCGTGCAGACCTGTCTGAGCTCACTTTTACAGGTTTCGCCTCTTTCGTTTGCTGTCAACTTAAGCATGCGATATGCGATTGTTTTGCACAATCGCCAGCAGAGCCCAGCATAATTCAGTTTAGTAAATGCGTTTGTGTTTTGACCAACTACCCGAGGAGGGGGGGCAAGCGGAACGGGGGCGTGGCACTGCAGCTCCCCCGCAGTGCAATTAGCAATGGGCCGAGTCATGTTTCTGGCTGAATTGCGGCGAGTTTTCAGTTTCAGTTTTCAGTTTCAATTTAAAGTTTTCAGTTTTCTGGCCGCTTTCATCGCTTGAGCAGCGAACCGTTTGGCGAACGTCTCTTTGTCTCTTATGTAAGTGAGGTTTCGGACGTGTAGTTCGAGTCCGTTGCCAGCCGGCATTACGAATGCCAATTAAATGCCTATTTTAGCGTGTTGGTTTTTTCGGCAATGTCGAAATCGTGTAATACATGAAATGGTCAGCCGGAAAAGTCGAGAAGAAAACTCAGCTCCAGAAACCTCAAAAGCGAACAAACGGAAGCGACCAATGCGGAAGGCACAAGCAATGGGCAATGGCATACTAACAACAGTAGCAGTAACAACAACAACAACAACAACAACAACAACAACAGCGATAACAACTATAGCAACAACTGCAACAGCAACAACAACAACAACAACTCTTCAGACTTGATTCATCTTTGGCTATCTCTTTTTTTTATGCCTCTCCCGCTCTTATTGTATTTTGTTTTTTTTTTTTTAATTGTTATTGCTGTTAAATTGTTATGTCTTGCCGATATTTATAGCTTTTGTCTCGCTCTCTCTACGTTTTTGTTTACTTTTAGTCGTTTTTTTTTTATAGGTTTTTATGTTGCGGCTCGCATTGTTTGGCCTGAATCATTTGAAGTATTTGTTGGGGTTTTTCTTTGTTTATCATTTCTGTGCAACGGAAATTGGTTTGAATACAATGGAATTGAAGAAAATCATAGACTATCCCATGTTCTTCTTAAATTTATGTTTATCTCAAGTTGAGCTTAGAACTCGAATTACGAGCAGGAAACTTAAGTAAATGAAATATGAATGCGGACTCAACTTAGAGTTAAGTGTTTAAGTATATGACATAATATCAATTCACAAGGTGAAAAGAGTGCTAAGAGTTGTTGTTAATGTCCGTTTTGGCGTTGGACTCATCAGTGATAATTAAAGTATACACTCGTGGCTATACATAAATGTTAAGTTAATACAGACGTTCCTTTGAGATTGATTACTGCTAGCAAGAGCGTGAAATAGGAGTAAACGTGTCCCAGTCCATACCAAATAGTAGTGCGATGGAGCACTAGATGTTGCACATGAAAATATAGTGACAACGTAATAAATAGTAAATAAATTAATTTTTTTAATTTTTTTGTTAAGTGTAGAACCAATTATTAATTTACCTAAATTTAGTAAAAATATATATTTATATTAATAATCGTTTCAAAATATTTTCTATATACTGTGTTTATCTAAGCTTTTTCCGCAGTACTACTTCTAGTACTACATTTTTAACCATAGGATTATATATAATAATGTGAACCAACAGTCAAGTGACTTCTCTCACATTTACTCGTTCGCAACACTTGCAGGACAGTGTAATTAGAATTCTCTTCAGCATAGCTATATTTGCTTTCATAACATTTTTGGCTTTCAGCTCTTGAGAGAAGGTCAACAAGCAATTAATTGAGACAATTAAATAATTTAATATATGTTAGTTAATTACAAAAAAAATCTAAAGTCAACTGCGACTTGAGATTAAAGAACTACAAAAATTAAAAACAAAATTATATTTGCAAATTAAGTTCAACTAATGTATAATTTAATTATAATAATAATTGATGTCTCACAAAACCAGCTCCCATAGCTCATTTAATGTCTTATGACCTAAGATGACTGCACTGCACTTTAATTAAAGCGAAATAGCAAACATTGAGCACTTGACTTTGGCATTCAGTGGGCTGCCTTCGCCTGGCTCTCGTGACACGCACTTTTGCAATGCGCATACGCCCCATTAGCCGGCGGCAGGGCCAGAACAGCGATTCGTGGCACCTTTGAATGTCACCTTTGTATGTGGGATTGCCCTAACAACAACAACAGCAACAATTAAAGTACAAAATGGTAATAAAATGGCACGCTCAATAAACTTGAACACAAACTATTGCGAAATACAGCAGCGATGGGTGTCAAGGTGCAGACAGACAGACGGACAGACAACTAGACGAATACGAATTATGAAAATATGAATATATATGTGTGCGTGCGTGTGTGTGAGTGCAGATAGCACAATTAATTAACTGGGCCAAAACACAACAGCCGATGCCCGGGCAGGGCAGCTGCTCAATGATGAGGCACATTTTGCGCATTTTTGTGGCTTGAAATTAATTCAAAATATGTGTAACACAATATATGTAAAGCTGATTCACAACAATGAAATGAAGAAGATAAAGCAGAAGAAATATCACAACAATCCGAGTGAGTGGTAAAAGAGACATCGGTTTTTGGCCAACTGACCCAAGGCACAGTGGTTAAGCGCTCATGATCTAGAGCTGAAAAATGATATTGTTTTACAAAGTGCTTAAAATCAACTTATTTTTTATGCAGATTTCTCTGGAAATTAAAAAAAATAAACAATTGTGCCCTTTTTTAATTTAAACCAACATAAAAAAATAAAATTAAACTGTTTTTGGGTGGTTTTTAGTAACGTTTCTTGATGTAAGCTAAAAAGAAGTATTACAAACTGCCGTTACTGACTACTTCTTCTGACTTCTTCACGGTCTTAAAGTTGTTAATTTATTGCTGCCCAATTCGTCTTAGTCAACGAGTAGAAAAGTGTGAATAAGTTAAAAAGTTAGTAAAAAACATTTAAATATAAATAAATTGATTTTCGAGCTAAATTATTTTGGTTATGTTATTTAAATTAATTTTTAAAATACATTTGAATTAATTTTTAAAATACATTTGAATTAATTTTTAGAATACATAATTTTTCATTTCAGGTTTAAATTTTTTTTTTTTTTTTTTTAACTTTTATTGACATGCAAATAACATTGAAATACTAATCTGTTAACAAAAATTTCTAGAGCTTTCCATGCATCTGCTCATGTGGGGCTATACTGTAGACTGACATCACTTGAGCCAAAACAAATAATTCCATTATTTTAAATCAATATTAAAAATAAGTTTATATTTGCTCCAACATTTCTGTGCCTTGTTTTTCAAGTAGAATCAAAATGCACAAGTTTCGCCCATTTTAAATGGATTTCTAATTTCTTTTGTGCCTTGCAAGTCTGTTGGACAGTGTCTCGCATTGGTAGCTACAGCACGTTCGAGTTGCTTACAGACGGACAAAAACCTTAGGCTAAACAAATAAGTTGTTATAAATAGTTATAAGTAGTTGTTGCTGCTGTTGTTGCTGCTGCTGCTTGAGTACGTGCTGCGCAGAGCATCAACCTTAATGTTGTTCAATCGAAATCAATTTCAAAATATTGTTGCTGAATGATATGAAGCAAGGTCGACTCGGCCACATTTGATGGCCTCATGTCATAAAAAACAGCAAAAATATTAGAAATAAATATTGTGCAATTTATGCGCCTCATAATTAAAAATGTAAGCAGAAGAAGAAGCACAGAAAAAAAGCCTCAGCAGATGTCATAAATGCCAGCGACTGCCCAGCAGCCAGAGCGAAAGTAAAAGTTTTTAGCTTAAACACAAGATTTCTTTTTAGCACAGTGCCTACACATATGTGCATGTATGTATGTATGTGTATATATGTATATATATATGTAAACAAACCGGCAAAATCCACAATGAAAACGCTGAAGCTGAGCCACAAACACAGAAGCCGCCAAATCATATTTGTTTATTTTTTCTCTCGCACTTCACTTTGATATGTGTCAACGGCTCTTATATAACTGGGAATCTATGTGCAAGTATATACATATATATACATACATATGTATGTATATGTGCGCATATATTTCTTGCTCACTCCACAAATATTTGCTGTGTGGGTCAAGGTTTTCGTGCCTTTGACATTTATAAGCCAAATGCAATTCGCGTCGTTTTTTATTGATTTTTAGCTCTTATTTATTTGAATATGAATGCAGCGGCCACAGATGCTGCAGCGGGTTATTGGACTCGGACTCGCTTCACACTATCGATTTCGATTTCAATTTCAATTTCAATTTCAATGCACAACCAGCTGTCGCGGCATAATGCCGGATGCTATGCATATGTTAAAATTAGCGGAGCACGCGCGAAACGCCCAAAAAAAAAAAAAATAACGAAAATCGTACAACAACAATCACAATACAAACAACAACAACAACGACCACTTTTTGTGCAACACTTGATCTTGGCTTTCGCGACGGGGCAAACACTCGCACTTGCTGTCAAAAGCTCTTTACTTCCCGATTTTCAGCTGCGGACGTGCGTTACGTTTGCGCGCTGGCGAGCGACTGTTGCCCGCGTTCGTGTCTTAAGTCTTTCGATTTTGTTTGCGCTCAGCCCAAAAAGTTTGTGGAGCGCAGCACCAAAAAAAAAAAAAAAAAAAAAAAAAAAAAAAAGAAAAGAAAATAAGAGAAACTTGAGCAATAGTTTATCAACAAAGCAAAAAAAAGCAAGAGAAACTGTAGACAGTCGAGGAAAGTGAACTTCACTTGGCACGAATTCGAGATACGCTTGCCAATAGAGCGACGATGTATGAAGAGCTCGGTATAAAATTATATAAAGTTGAAGTTAGAATGAACAGATATTAGTTTCATAGATATCTTCTTCCATCAGTTCAATCAGTCAATCAAGCAGTTCGGTATAAAGAGATTTTTCATATATGTTTATAGTTCAAAGTTCAGTTTTCTTTCCTCAAATTTTATCAGATCAGTTTAGTTTAATCACTCAATCATGTTAAACAAGTTAGTCAATCTATCAATCAGTTAATGAAGACAGTTACTTAGTTATATAGATCAGTCAGTCTGTCAAGCAGTCGCTCATTCAATTTGTCGACTAATCACTCTATTTATTAATCAATGTCAATCACATTATAAAACAGCCAGTCAATCATTCAGGCAGGCAGTCAATGATTAGCCAAATGAGTTAAGCAGTCAAGCTGTCAATCGTCAATCTGTCTATCAGCTGAGCCTTCAATCTGTTGATCAATCAGTTAGCTTTTCAGTTTTATATTCCTAGTCAATCAATCAGTCTTTTGTTCAATTCACCAACATTTCAATCAATCAGCTCAACAGCCAGTTTATTAAATAGTCAATAAGTTATTCAGTCTGTTATTTAAGCTGCTCAGTTGTCAGTCATTGTCAGTCAACCTACAGACATTCAATCAGCCATGCGTAAGTCAATCATTATATTATAATATGTAAATATATATACCTATGTAGTTAATCTACCAACTATGAAATTAGTTATAGGTACAGCTAATAGATGTTTAAGCTGACTGCCAATCATTGATCAATCAGATTGTCAATCAATCAGCAAGCTTTATATGTAGATACATACATATGTTCTGTATACAATTAGTTCATTCAATAATCAATCAGTAGATTGACATCTGACATTGACTGAGCAACTCTGTCAATCAAGCAAATAGTCTACAAGCTGAAATAGTATATACAGAGTATATAGTATATTCTATTGACTATATGTAATAGTCTACAAGCTGGTATGGTATATATAGAGTATATAGTATTTCGTATATCCTATTGGCCATATATCATAATCAATCCAAGCTACACGCATTATATATGCTGATATAGTTAGGGCTATCTCATTGCGCTTCTCCTCCTCAAACAATGTGAACAAGTTCCAGCTACTCTAAACAAAGTTATATAAATGTGAGTGTGTGTGTGCGTGTGTGTGGGTCCATAAATAGCGGGTATAAAATTGGCGTCAGACAAGCCGGCATTAAAGTCGGTCAAGGCACAAGGCACAAGCTAGCAGGCACGAGGCAAAGACTACGCGGACTAGAAGGAAGCTGCGTGACCAGACGAGGGTAGCTTTGGCGTCAGACATTTGAGTTATGTGACAAACGGCGACGCGGACGGGAAAAGTGGGATATTGAAGAAGTTGGCACAGTAGTGGATTTTTACTCTGTATCGAAGGAGGTGGACCACGGCGTTTGTCTGCAAATTTATGAGACGGAATGCCAGAGAGACGGAGAAGGAGTGAGAGAAGGGCAGGGAGTTGCTAATGCCACCAGTGATGAGGTTATCAATGTTGATGCGTCACTTAGGCTGGGTTAATGCTCGAGCTGCCCTCGCTTGTGCATTAAGCCAAATGTCCACAGTCTGTCATCAATCAGCCTTTGTCAGCGCTAAATGCTGGCTTTAAGCCACAATCTGATATCGGAATCTGAATCGAGAGCGCTTTACCTGGCTGGGAAAATCAGTTTCCTCGGTCGCAGCACTTAATGGAATTGAATTCAGTTTCAATTGAATGAATCACCCCCCCATGGAAGGCAAACAAGGTCCCTCAGGGCAAGACAAGAGGCAGTCAAATTTCTTGCCCTAACAAGCTGAAAATATTTGTGTTTTTACGCCTCCCCTGAGTCGAATGCCAGACGCTCCCCCCGACCAATCCCACGCTCCCTCTCTCTCTCTCTCTCACCTGTTGCTCGACATTGTCAACTAATTGGCATGAGTTATGTGACCTCTCACCTTTACTCTCCGCCTCACCTTTATTTTGCAGCCTGAAGCCGAATATGGAGAAGTTCGAGATATCGCAGAGCTATCACGGCGGTCACGGTGGCTACGAGGAGATGGAGGGCGGCGAACGCGAGGGGCGTGGACCTGGCGGCGGCCATGCCTACGACGACGACGACGATCGACCCGACTCGCCCGCCTCCTTCGAGGAGATCGAGCGCCCGCCTCTGCGCAAGATCGACAAGTACTGCAAGGCGGAATGCCCCTGCATGCCGGCACGGTACACAATCGCTACAATGGCCTGCGTGGGCTTCATGATTGCCTTCGGCATGCGCTGCAACATGTCAGCGGCGAAGCTCAAAGGAGAGCATAACGGGGTAAGTCGAGGGATTGAAAATTGCAGTAAAAATTAACTCAAAATGGAAATGGAAATATATGAAAAATATGAATAAATAATTTTAAAATTTTCATACAAATATTTGTTTTTATTTTATAAAAATCTGTTGAAAAAATCGAGCAAGAATCATCAAGAAAATATGATTTTTATTATAATAAAAATCTTTATAAAATTAACTAAAATTTATTTGAGTTGCCTTGATGAATATGCAACAATTTAAGACAGCTTATGCTCATTTAATTTGTCATCTAAAAAATGTTCTCCAATGCTCCCATAAAGACTTTAAAAACATGAACGGAATTCGAGCATGGGAATTCAATTCAATTTGCCTCATTTGATGGCAAAGCTGCTGTCAATTAGAGTGTGTGTGCGAGTATGGGAGTCTATGTGTGTGTGTGCTTGTTCACATCACTCAAAAGTCACACTCAATGCCACGCCCACACAATAGAGACACACACACACATAGAGCATCCGTTTGGCGCTCGTTAATAAAGGCCCGCGGCACAAAATTTTAATGATTGCGACTTTCTCTCTCTCTCTCTCTCACTCACAGACCGTCTTTATGAACTGGACGGTGGCAGTGGAAAGCCACGTGGACTCATCCTTCTTCTGGGGCTATCTAATAACACAAATACCCGGCGGCTTCATTGCATCCAAGTTTCCAGCGAACAAGATTTTCGGTCTCTCGATTGTCAGCTCCGCCTCGCTGCATTTGATTGTGCCGTTCGCCATGACACTGATGCACGGCCATGTGGTGATAGGCGTGCGTGTGCTGCAAGGACTCTTCGAGGTGAGTCACGGAATACTTACATACATATATCCATCATATTATAGAACATATCAAATATACCAAAAACCAAATCGAATTCGTTTTTGAGCAGATCAAAGCTAAGGATTACGCATGTATAAGTGGAGAGGGTTAGCCAGAGCTAGGGGGGTGGTTTTATTGTGTATGTGGGGGTTGCTATATGATAAAGCAAATATGTGAAATGAAAACATGTTCCGGATTTGGGGCACACACAGAAGGCGAAATAACAAAAGCATTTATTTTAATGCGATTTCTTTTGTGTCTGTTTGGCAATCATTTTTTTGCCCACTTTCTCACTCTCTCTCTCCTTCTCCTTCTCTCCCTCCCACGCAGGGCGTAACATATCCGGCTTGTCATGGCATTTGGCGTTTCTGGGCGCCGCCCATGGAGCGCTCTCGCCTAGCCACATTGGCCTTCTCCGGCTCCTACGCGGGCGTCGTTGTGGGTCTGCCCCTGTCCGGGCTGCTGGCGGATGCGGTGGGCTATCAGGCGCCCTTCTATGCGTACGGCACCTTCGGCATCATCTGGTATCTGTTCTGGATCTGGCTGTGCTTCGAGAATCCGCGCAAACATCCCGCCATCAGCATACCGGAGCTGAAGTACATTGAGAAGTCGCTGGGCGAATCGGCGCATCCGACGATGCCGTCCTTCAGGACGACTCCGTGGCGCGAGATGATGCGCTCGATGCCCGTCTATGCCATTATCGTGGCCAACTTCTGTCGCTCCTGGAACTTCTATCTGCTGGTGCTCTTCCAGTCCTCCTTCCTCAAGCACAAGTTCGGCTTCAAGGTGGAGGAGGCGGGCTTTGTCGGCTCCCTGCCCCACTTGATCATGACCACGATCGTGCCCTTCGGCGGCATGCTGGCGGATCATCTGCGCAAGAACGGCATCCTCTCCACAACGAACGTGCGCAAGCTCTTCAACTGCGGCGGCTTCGGCATGGAGGGTCTCTTCTTCCTCTTCGTGGCGCACTCCCAGACGGCAGTAAGTTCAGCATGTTTGCCCTTTGGGAACTCTATTTAATTGTATATAATTGATATGATATAATATGATTTTTCAAGAATTTTTGTTTATCTCTATTAAAATATATATGTATTTATTTATTATTGTGTTTCATAAATAATATTAATAAAAAAATTTTCAAATTTTTAATTTTTATATATTTTTCTTAACTTAAGAAAAAAAAAAAAATTAAAAAAAAATTTTTTTGTTTCAGTTTCTGAGTTTGTTTATAATCTGAATATGTTTTTTTTTTTTTTATTGATATATCCTTCCTTGGGGCTAGAAGTCTAATCTTGTCATTGACAGTATTATGTTAGGTCACTGTTAAATAACATTTTTAACTCAAGAGCTCATTTCTGTTCGTCTGGTGTTAACAAATACTTGAGGGAAGTATCAGGCGCACAGAAAAGAGCTATAGGGTTAAATATGATATTTTACAGTTGGGTAACATAGACGTAATGTTATTTAACATGTAAACTAGCCGTAGTTAACAGTGCTCTTGCTTGTTATTATTTATATATTATTCTTTTTACTTTTGATTTTGTATTTAAAATTGGTAAAAATATAGATATATATATATTATATATATATATATATAATTTTTTTTTAAATATTTATGCCTGCCAAATTAGTTAGATAACTTAAGTATAATATGCTAAGTATATAATGCTAAGTATATATTTACATTTATTCAACATTTTCTTAGACTGGCGCCATGTTTGCTTTGACCTGTGGCGTGGCGTTCAG